CACCGCTTTGCAGTATGTGGATTCATAAGTTGAAAAAAAAATGTAATTTTTATATAAATTAATAGCATTAATCCGTTTGTTAAAATAACATAATAATCAAGATCTTATTAAAAAAGTAGTTTTACAGTTTCTCAAAGAAACTTACCTTACATTTGTTGTTACTTAATTAACACAGAGATCATATGTCCAGTATTAGTGTTGATAAGACTGAAAGATTTGTTTGTTTTGAACACTTTTGAACTTAGAAAAAACAATATTATCTGCACTTGGCACCCACTTTAATAGAACATAAACAGAATGATGTAGTCTTAATATCACAAAACAAAAACAAATTGACTGACTAATACTCCATTTTGAATTCGTCTACAGTAAAAAACATGCCGAATCGGGCTTCTTGGTTTTCTCTCACCTATTTCTTTGCATTGTTTCTCTACCTAATTTGTTCTCAACAGCACCTTCATTCATGATTATTACTTTTTAATTTGCTAAACAAGGGAGTGCCGATACAAAGACAACATTATAGATTATAGATTCCGTACTTACATCAACTTACATCGATGAAACGTTTATTAAATTCATCAAGGGTTAATATCATAGAAGTTCAGTAGCAACCACAGATCTAAAATAAATTTAAAAATTATGTATTACTAAATCAATTTAATATTGTTATCAATTACTAAGAATTTCATGACTATTGCTCTATTTATTATATCGATATTTAATTGAAATGAAAACATTTTTTAATTTTTGTACTTTTTAAAAATACAAAAAAATTGTACGTTTTATTATTTATGTTTAAACACTTCCCTCTTTTTCAGGCGGCCTAAATTTAATTTTGTGATAATCCCTAATAAATAATTATTAAATTGATAATTTGGATGAATTAAGAAACTAATTTCCATTTCGAGCATACTTTAGACATTATCAAATTTTTTAACCTATAAAGCTCATAAAAAAGTTGAATAACCTCAAAAAAGTGGTCGGCAGTGATCGGCCACAGAATGCGCCGAATTTACTTAAAAGAGCAACAAATTGAAATATATTCATAAAAAATAACGTCTCTATTTGATTATAATATGCTTCCATCAAAAATTGCTGCATCCTTTTGATTTGTAGAAATTTTCTTGTTATTGTGTTGTGTTCTAGTGTGCAATGTAAGCTTTGGTGTATATGCGTTTTTACCTTATTTATGTAAATAGTTTTAGCTGAAAATAACTAATCAAGATGTCTGGTCCTCCTCATCATTTTTTACCAAATTTAACTAATGCACAAGCAGGTATGCGTTCACAATTTGGAGGAAATTCAATGCAAAACCAAATGGGGGGCATACAGAACCAGTTGACAAGTCAGTTGGGTAGTCAAATGCCAGTACAAATGTCTGGACAGATGGGACCTCAAATGAGCAATCAGATTGGGCCACAAATGGGTACTCAAATGGCTCCTCAAATAGGGAATCAATTGGGTCCCCAAATGGGACCTCAGATTGGAAGCCAAATGGTTCCCCAAATGCCTACATCATTAAATAATCAAATAAATCCAAATATGCCTGTTAATAGTCCTATTATTGGTCAGTTAGGACAACAATATAACATGAATTCTAACACTCAGATGGTACCACACCAAAGTCCATTGCAAATCCAAGGAACTGGTAAGTTAAATGCAAACAATATCATTATGAATTTAAATATGTGGTGATTAAACTATTATTTGATTTAGGTGCTTTGCAGCATCATACCATGCAACAACAACAAGTACTACAACAACCTCCTGTAGTTCCCACACCACCTGTAGTACCACAACAACAACAACAGCAGCAACAACAGCAGCAGCAGCAGCAGCAACATCAGCAACAACAACAACAACAACAACAGCAGCAGCAGCAGCAACAACAACAGCAGCAGCAGCAGCAACAACAGCAACAACAGTCAAAAGAATTTAATACAGCCTCTCTCTGTCGCATTGGTCAAGAAACTGTTCAGGATATAGTTAGCAGAACACAGGAAGTCTTCCAAACACTAAAAACCATCCAGGTAAAAAGAAATTGGAAGAACAAAACATTTTATGCAATATATATAAAGTACAATAATCATTTCTGTATGTACAATTGCAGCCTCCAAATGGTACTCCACAGGGTACTAATACAAGTAACGAGAAAAAAGTGAAAGTGCAAGAACAACTTCGTACAATCCGTGTCCTCTTCAAAAGGCTTCGTCTGATATATGAAAAGTGCAATGAAAATTGTCAACTGCAAGGAATGGAATACACTCATATTGAAAGTTTAATTCCTTATAAGGACGAAATTGACCCTAAACATGAGGAAAAGAAAAACCACGAGTCTTATAGACTTGCCTGTGAAGAGAGTAAGGATGTTATGGAGCAGGTAGTTTTGAAAAACAGGCAACTCAAAGAAGTAATAGATCATTTACGTAGAATTATTTGGGAAATTAATACTATGCTTTCCATGAGAAAGTCATAAATATTGCATTATATAATTTTGGAGTTGTTAGCGTTTAGTTTTTTTTTTGTATCATTAATAAGTTGTTTGTTAAGAGAGCTATTTCATTTTTATTTATTTAATGAATTTGGGACAGTTCTTGCAAAAACTAACATTTTCTTTATGTTACAGCTGTGATAAAATGATAAATTTCTCATTCATTCTCTAGATTATGGTCGTATGTCTATGTGTAATTTAGAAATTATAATACGCGGTATTTCATATTTAATTATAACATTAGTAGAATGGCGATATCTAAAATTATAAAGTTGCGGGTTAAAACGTTTCTTGAGAGAAATAATTATGCAGTCGTTTTATTCCCATCCAGAGCCAAAAAAAGTTCAAATTATTGATAATGTGGATGTATAACTATTAAGTATTTGGTTTTAGGCAGCTGTATATAAATGAAAATAAATAGTTATATCCATATGAGAATTAAATTTTGTATACTTTTAATTTTATTCCAATTCAGTGAACTTAGCAATGCAGTGGTTACAAATTGACATTTAGAGGTTTTGCTACTGTTTCTTGCATAATTTTCAGATGGATTTAACTACTAAAATTCATTTTTCTGTACAAAATTGTCTGTTATTTGTAGTACTTATGGATAAGGTAATTGTGTGCTTTCTTTGTTTGATGAAATTAATAAAAATCAGTTTAGTAGCCAATGAGTTATAATAAAAGTACAAATTGGTAATTGGCAAAATAATAAAGATGGATAAATTTCAAAAACAAGATTGTAATTGGTAAGTGTACATTGTGAATTGTCTAAAATAATTCTTTTAATAGCTAAATGTGCAGATGTTATAATGTATATTTTTGAACTTAGACCATACAGAAATTATTACTAAATGGTTGTTAAAAATGGGATTTAATGTAAAGCTTAAATGTTAAATTAACTATAAATTCGAGATTAAATGTTCAAATGTGAGGGAAAAAGATATTGTTTTTTGATAGTTAGTAGATATAATTAAATTATTTTATTTAATGTGTAACTTGTTAGGCAAGAAGTAGTTGTAATGCTACTTCAAACGAACACTATTATTTTTCTATTGTAAACAATTAATTTGCCTATTTGTCAAAAAGTGAAGTGTAAAACATTAATTTCTAAATTACATAATCTACTAGTATAATTGTACCTCTTCCACTGTAATTCACAAGAAGTAATTATCAATAAATACCCTAATTTTTTACTATGAATTTTATTTGCAATAATTAAGAAATTAAAGTATACTGCAATATGCAATAATTCATCAGGTATATAGTATAAAAAATATATTGTGGTCAGAATGGAACATACACCTACAATTCATTAGAATTAAAATAATTTTTGGTACATAATAAACAAATAACATTAGTTTCATTGCTATTTGGGACAGTCAATGTATCACATACAATACATGGCTCCATTGAATTACTAACAAGGTAATTTGCTTCATTTTCTAGATCATTTTGATACTGCTGAGCTTGTTGTATATTACATTCGTTTTTAATTTCTTCTTCAATTTCTTCAAAGGCTGTAAGCATGTCTGTGTTATCAGGATAATCAAAGGATTCTAGCAAACGCTCTTTCAGCTCAAACATTGTAAAATCTTCTAACAAAATTCTTTTCTTATCCAACGCATTGTCTCTCAAGCTTCGTAATCGTTCTTTAAATTGCTTAAAAGATGTAAAAATTTACTCAGATATTTGATTAAACTTTATAGAACCACTTACTTTTCTAATTTCAATCTTTATCTCTGCAACAGATGGACTTCTTTTAGTAATTTTATTTTTATTGTTTTTAGCATTTTCTGAACTACACCGAGACATAATATAAGCTAAAATAACATTTAAACTGTGTAAAAACAAGTAGAATTTTAAATTTCTTCTTATTGAAAATTAAGGTTAGACTTTTAAACAATAAGTGTGAAATTAGACAATCGGAATGAAATTAGCTACTGGATTCATAGATGCTCAGTGGACGACGTCCACAGATATTACTATAAAAACTATAAAGGCGGGAATTCGAAAACAGAAAATCATTACAAAATTTAATGAATTTTATACTGCTTTTAAGAATTCATGAGTATGTAACTGTTTTAAACAAAATATAAAATTCCAAGATTCGTCTTCACACAATAGACGTAAATATTTACGAACTTGTAGTAAAATAGCTTGTTGTTTAAATTACCAGAAACAATACTAAAATAATTCTTGAAAAATCAGTTTCATTCATTAAAAGTGCTTTATTTCACTTTTTTGTTGCGTAAAAAGATGTGTATTTACTTAGTATCAACATGGATAGATATTGCATTGGTAGGGTAGACTTATCTTATCAATTTGTCTTTTATCACTAATGTAAATTTTGTTTATTATGAGTAATCAAGCATCACCTAAATCGAGTTTTTTTGTGTAAGTCAGAAAAGAATGAAGCACGTTGTCTTATTTTTTTGTTTTGGTAAACTAATGGAAAAGGTAAAAACTTTTAACCCATTTTAATTTTTTTTAGGTAGTTTGCTATCAGTTTCTGATCAAATTTCATCCTACATTCCTTCGAATTTATTGAAATGTTATCAATCGAGTTACGCAGAAAATTTTCCAAAGCCTCCATTAACTATTCAAACTTTTATAGAACTTATTAGAAAATTAGAATTTGACGAAGGAAATACGTTAAACATGAGAGTACTATCAAATGCATTGCTTCATAGGTAGGTAGTTGCTATTTATTCAATATTTATTAATAGTAACAAAACTGCGTACTTTCACCTATTTGCGTATACTTAAATGTTAATTTATTATTCATAGACACTTACAATATTGCCTTTTTATTTCAGATGCATACTCATTTAAATAAATGTTTACGAATAGTTATTGTTGTATATACAATTTACATGTACATAATTTACATATTATTTTATTAGTCACTCGTATTAAAAATAACTTACAACAACCATAGGTGTATGCAGAGGGTAATACTGGNACCTAAAAAAAAAAGCTTAGTATAATATAAAAAATCCAAGTTTTAATAAATACTCGTTTGGAATTGAACAGTGATACTTCTTCAATCTTTTTAACCCATAGCTAGTTTTTTGAGTTAACTTTGAACCCTCAAACTCACCCCTGCGAGGTACACTCCAAAAGTAATAATGTCACATACGATAAAGACTTTTTTTACATGAGTAAATTGAATTAATGATTTTTACGCGATTTCTTTAATTATTTTTAGTATTTCACAAACTAGTTCGTGTCCGATTGAAAAGGGGGTAATATATACTAAGTGGGGTACAGTATCGCCAGGGATTATAATCGCTGGAGTCGCTGCAGCGCTTGAAACATCCAATTTACCCTTTCAACAAATTATGAGTACGATGCAAATTCATCAGAACAAAACCGAGTCCGAAATTGATTACAGTAGCACAGTTTTAAGCAGAAATATAAGTAATATTTGGACTTCAACTGTAGCTGGTGATTTGGGAGAAGTTGTCATATTGCAAGCTGTAAATCCCCCCATAATCGGAACACCGGGAACTTGGAATAACACTATGCTACCAAGAATATTCTATTTGGACGACATTAACTATGATTTTACCAGATCCGAACTTCTAGGAGGCATAGATGGCAAGTACTATTACTTTAAAAAACAGTATTACAAAATATATTAATTTAAGAAGGTCCTTTTCAATTATTTTTCCTTATAACAATTTAATAGAGTTGTACAGAACCCTATTAGGGGCTGTTCATAAATTACGTAATTATTCTAAATTAAAAAAAGATTGTTAAAGGTGTATGCTTAAAAATGTGGAGTACGGGCTGGGGTAGTAGGGGTCATGATCCCTTAAAATCGTACACGTGAAATTAATAAACTCCAAAAAATCTTAATGTCAAGAAACATCAGACAACGACGAGGTCTATTTTCTACCCAAATTTATTTTTTCTAAATATTTATTCAGAGTTCGATTTTTCACTTATAATATTATATTTAATTTCTCATATCTTTTTTGTGTAATAAATTCTCATTTGCTCAACATATTCTACTGTTAATATGACCCCTTCAAAGTCTTCGGTCGTGATTACGTTGAAGTAAAAGCAGGAGTTAAGAGGGGCACAGATAGCCAAATGACTTTGTTTAATATACTGGTAGGGTTACTCGCTTGACGCATCATTGATCTCTTTTTTGAAAATACTCGATTTTTAATAGTTTTAAGGCTGTTACTGCAACACTATGTAGTAAAACACTAGCTAGAACATCTGTTTGTACATTCTTCTGTAAGGGTTTGTTAAATTTTTAATTCAATTTGCATCAAACAAAGCTTCATTCAATTGGTGCTTTTTACTTGTAACGAATACTCTAAGAAAAAGACTTACTAAACATAATAGGCTCTGTATTTACCTCAAAAGTTTTACAACTCAATCTATTAATGGTAGTAATACAGTCGCCTAATAAATTGCTGATTAAACAATTTTATTTAACATTTTGCTAGGGTTACTCGCTTGACGCATCATTGACCTCTCTTTTGAAAATAGTCGATTTTTAATAGTTTTAAGGCAGATAATGCATAACTACGTTGTGAAACACCAGCTATAACATCTGTTTGTACATTATTGTATAAGGTTTTGTTAAATTTTTAATTCTATTTGCCTTAAAGAAACACTTGATTCAATTTGTGGTCCGCCAATTTTTTCCCTAATACTAGAACATCCCACATCCTAAACTATTTGTGAACAGTAATCTAATTTAGATCTACCTCTACTTATCATAACTCCTGTTTCTGCATCTAATATGTCTCTAATAGTGTCTTACCAATCTATCTCTCCTATTCCCCATTGTCTTCCATAGGAACTTCTGTTCTCCTATACATTCTAATATCTCCTGCGACCCCCGAATGGTCCCAAAAGTGTTCTGTATTCCTTTCAAAACTACTGAACTCGAGACTACTGGTATTTAACAATGTCTTTAAAAATAGGTTTAATATTGGCTAGCAAGGTAGCGTCGTGGACGTCCATTCTTTCCAGAACCCGATTATCTCAAATATTAGACATGTATTATTCTCCCAGGGGAGTATCATACAATGTTTCATACAAAGCTTGCAAAAGAAGAGGATTGGCAAAGGAACAATTCGATGACAGTAATTTTTTAAAGGGTCAAGTAATACTGAGTGAATACCAATAAAAAAGAATACTAGCTTTGAAAAGCTTTTTTTAGGTCAGTGCTATTGCCAAACTGCTTCAGGAAATAGGGTTATCCAATCAACTTTTATTTGAAAATACAATAGACAATTTTACATCTGTAGTTGTGGACACTTTCTTAAACAATTACGGTAAGATATATAATTACTTGTCGAAGCTTTTTACAGTTGTTAGTCATAGACTCATTTATGTAGAAAAAGCGTTTGAAGGGTACGATAAATGTGATACAGAAAGACAACTTTGGTCGTCACTTGATGTGATAACTATTTTTGACGAAACGTGGTCAGAATATGAACTTCTAAAAATTATAGGGTATGTATCACGTATCCATTAGAAGATCGTGTGGCATTGTCCTGTAACCATCCTATAAAAGTCTTTTAGTTCAAGAACTGGACGTTTCGTACTATGGAACCCACTTGGGGGTGATTTATGGTCAAAGCGGTACCTGGATGGCTAACGTATCCGAAAGTGTTTTGGAATTATTTTCACAGCTTAACAATTTCGCATTAACGAGTAAGAAAGCTCCTAATTATTTAATTTCTTAATTACCTAATTTAGAAAACAGCTCATTGGTTTTGTGCAAGGACTGTATTGTATTGCTGGATAAAACGCTTTTTGCGATCATTCCCCTTTTGACCTTGCAATAAAAGGTCAAAAGTGCTAACGTTTACAAGCGTCGTATGGCCGTTTGAACTTTTCCATACGACTCTGTAAATTAGTTGGCTGATGGCATATAAATGTTTAATTCATATTAACAATGATTTTTCTTAACAATTATGCTGGCTTTAAACGAATATTAATAAATAAGGAACTAAGCCTTTGCTACAATTAAATCCAAGCTATTATCCTAATAAATGTTTCAAATTTGAAGTCCCTATAACTGAGATTGGCTTAAAAAGTTTTGGTTGTACCAATAGGAGGTAAAGGAGCTAGTGCTGGTAAGGTAACATCGTTACGTTTCTTACAGGAAGCAGTTCCCTTTCGTTGCACCGTAGCTTCGAAAGTGTTGTTGAATATTTTCAAAATCGAAATTATAGCGACTGTAATAATAATACTGGGAGAAAACCAAGGGGTTTTGTTATTGTGGTGTTTGCGAAGAGTTCACTGTTAACAGACGAAGACTTGAGATGGTCACAATTGTCCTTGAATACGATAAAAGCTAGTCATCCGGAGGTCAAGTTGGTGTACGTTACTTCGGATCATAACTCGGCCTCATTCGAAACACTGGCGAATTCGTATTCAGGTGACATCGTTTTAAAAACAACTGTTAACGATATAGAATCCGTGGTAACAGAAGTTTCGAAGAAACTGGCAAACGTGCCTGGACATATTATAGACATTTATTGTAGCAAATGGCACATTGCAATGGAGGATTACATCACTCCTTACAAGAATACTGTTTACGAAATAAGCCACGAGTTTATAAAAAGAGCCAACTTTTTTGTCAAGGTGGGTAACCTTGGCTTTTGCCAACCGCTTTTATATATAGTACTATTACTACCTTTGACATTAATTTATTTGTTCTTACGGTTACAATAATGTCGCTTGTATGAAAGTATTTAATGTAGAACGTGATTATTCGACGCTAGTGTAAACAAACCAGGGGCATGATAATATCCTCTTATCAACAAGGGACAATGGTCTTCTTTACTACTAGGAAGGGCGAAGCAAAAAGCGCAAAAAGTTTATGGGGTGTTAAAAAGCGGTTAACCAATTTTTAATAATCTATCAATTAGGGATGTTTTAATAGAAAAAAAAATGACACAATGAAGAAAATCAATAAAATTATTTATTAATGGCCCGCTTACTACCTACCTTTCAAATTTTTATCAATACAATACCTGTTAAACTTTTCCCTATAAGTTTATTAAAACTGGAAATAATATAGACTTCATTTACTAATATTCTGCTAGGGTTACTCGCTTGACGCATCATTGATCTCTCTTTTGAAAATACCTGATTTTTAATAGTTTTAAGGCCGATAAAACAACAGTTTGTTGTTAAACACTATCCAGAACAATTGCATGAATATTGTTCTGTAAGATTTTGCTAAATTTTTAATTCTGTTTGCATTAAACAATGGTTGATTTAATTAGTGCTCGTTACTTGTAATGAATTTCTTAAAAAGAAGACTTATTGAACACAGTATATTATCCATTTATGTCAAATGTTCTATATACAATTTAATCCATTAATAGTTGCCACTCAGTCGCTTAAAAGGTTTCTGATTAAATGACTTTATTTAATATATTGGTAGAGTTACTCGCTTGACGCATCGTTGATCTCTCTTTCGAAAATACTCGATTTTTAATAGTTTCAAGGCCTATAGAGCAACAATACGTTGTAAAACACTAGCTATAACATCTGTATGTACATTCGTCTGTAAGGTTTTGTTTGATTTTTAACTTTTATTTGCCTTAAACAAACGCTTAAAATATGACTGTTAAATCTAGTTTTAGTTTGATTCACTTTGTGCGCTTTTCTTGCGTTGAATTTCATAAAAGAAGGACTTAATAGTCTTAATAAGTTTACCATTTATTCCAATAGTTCACAATGTTCAAAATTCTCCTTTTGTAATCTCTCTGTACTTCGTGTCGTTAATTGGTACGCAAACGTAGATATGTTTCTTGTGCATGAGATAAATATAAAGTATTCATTAGTTTGCTAGGAACGAACATAAATTCTATTTAAGTGCCCCCAATATTTAGGTGGAATCATACAAATATCTAATAATGCCCATAGTCATTAATATTTATAAATTTGTTGCGATAAACGAAATACAGTGAAGTATTACAGTATTAATGTATGATAAATTTATTGTTTCGTTCTTTGTTATTCAGTATGTACAAAATAGTGTACAGTTTTGCTGTTACTAATTATTTAATAACATTTGAATTAAGCTGAACAGAATAGGACATCATTGACGCTCTTATTTTAAGCCTTTGTTTAATGCAAATCGAAGTGATAATTAAACAAAAACTTAAATGAAATTGTGTACAGATGTTATTCTTAGTGTTTTACAACATATTTTTGTCTTATAGTCCTTAAAACTATCAAAAATCGAGTATTTCTGAAAGAGAGATCAATGATGCGTCAAGCGAGTAACCCTAACAAAATATTAAATAAATCGTTTAATTTAAAACTTATTAAGCGAGTATCTGATGGATACTATTAATAACAATTCAAAAGGTATTTCTTTAATAAATTAAGCAAAAAATTTCAATTTATACCTAATAACTGATGTTATTTACAGTTTTAATAAACTTAAACCTAGAAGAAAGATTTTTATATTTTGATAGATTTTAGATTTTGACCAATTAAAATCCAGATCGCAGCTCTTTACAAAATTTTATTAATCCTTTTGGGTCTATTATAAGGGAGTTTAGCTTTATACCCCTAAAACCTCACAATTTGTCGAATTATTTATTTTAGTTTATTTTCAATAATTTTAGGTTTTTGAAATTTTTATATTGAAAAGAAAAATATATTTCTATTTTATTGTAACTTCTTTTCAATGTATTCACTTTGAATAGATAAGCAGGTATTTTAACTTATTGTTTGATAAAACACCAATAAAATATTGTTGAAACCGTCTGAAATATATTACGTACATTAAAAACCAGATAGAAAGTTTGAACACATCGACTACTCGCTTAGAATAGTTAAAGTTATGAATGTAGGCAAATAGGTCCTGTTTGATTGAAATTACCACTTAAAGACAACACTATCTAATAGAAAATTCTGTTCGATTACTCACGAAAACGCATAACCTTCGACGTTTTAAACTAACAATACTTACATGGACGATATACGTAATTGTTTCTTTTGATTTGTTCCTTACTGCTAGTTTAAGGGACACAATTATGGAGATTTTACAGTTTGTGCACAGGATTCAAATAACGGCGATAAAACCTGCAAAAGGGTTGTTGACAACAATGTAGTTAATTTCACAGCTAACGATTATTGTCATTCCTACAACTGTAACGTTCAGTTTTCAATATCTGAAATCCAGACAAGGGTCAAATGTACAGGTAAAAAATATTTATTATTAGATAAATTAATTTAATTTAATTTATGGTTTTTCTTTTGTAATTAAAAAGTTGTTTAATCCGTAATTCTGAAAGAAAAATTTTCGAGAAATGTAACTTGTTCAAGTACATCATTTACGTATTTATTCTGCTTAATTTAATAGATATTTAAATGAATTTAAGTACTTATGCTCATATTAGTTTTTTCCTTGAAAATAATGATTTAAAAATAGGCACTTAGTTAACAATTCCAATCTCTACTTACAGAGTTAGACTGCAGATACCCAGATCAAATTCGTATTAACATATTTACCTATTGGACATCTAGTTCCGGGTCATTGACAGGTTCAGTTACACCTTTTTATTGCATTAGTTTTTTACTTGCAGCGAAATGTTTTTTTTATTGCTGAAATTTTTTTAAAAATAAATTACATAAGAAATAAGGTGATTAGTCCCCTCGGAACAGTCACTGCGCGTATACCTATTATATGACAGAGGTGTATGCAGTGAAAATTAGGTTCATAAAAAATTGTATTTAAGTCGTTAACAAGAAACTTGTCCACCTTGACAATATTCTACAATATTTCTGTTAATTTTTATTTTTATGTTTTCACCTGTGGCGATAGTCTAATATCGGACTTTTAACGCTTGCTATTGTACTTACTACTGTGTTAATTTAATATATTTATTGTTACTGCTTTTTGTACGACTTATGTAAAAAAATAATACGTATCCCAAATTCAACAAATGTTTTTATTTACATAAACGAAATTTAAATATTTATTTTTTTTCGCAAAACCAAATGAATGAAGTAGTACATGAATCAAGTTTGAAGTCCATTAGAGAGTTCATAGTTCATACATTGCACTTTTGGTAGATTACCAAATACAAATTCTAAAAGCTTTACAAAGTAGATTTTATATTAAGTCGTGTTTCCCATTCACAATACACTTTTTCGGATTGCAACAAAAATATTGAATGACCTCGTGTTTTTACAATTCACTCAACTAAAACTTCAAGGAAATATATTTACATTATAAATATTTATAAGTATATATTACATTTTTAATTAAAAAGGTATTTACTACAGCTTGCAACTTTCGTAATTCCATATGGTAATCGCGAATCTTTAAATATTCTGTCTTTTTTTCGCTTATCTGCATCCGAGGTACGAAGAACTGGTTCAATGTTTCAAATCTCAAAAATTATAAATGTTTCTTTAGTACACAACATTAGTGCAGATCAATTTTTTGAAATGTTTTCCCATAACAAAGAAAGCATACGCGCCTGTCTGACGCTGAATTAAAAAAGAAAAATAAATTTTATTCCAATGCACAAAATTTTATTTACACAACATTAGTGCAGATCAATTTTTTGAAATGTTTTCCCATAACAAAGAAAGCATACGCGCCTGTCTGACGCTGAAAAAAAAAAGAAAAATAAATTTTATTTTTCAATGCCCTCCAGTGTAATCACAAGTAATCTTCGTATAATCTTATAGTGAAAGTGACCATGGAGTAACATACTGCTGTTGTATCATTTATAAGATTACTTGCGTTTACGCTAGAGGGTACTGACAAATTAAATTTATTTTTTGAGCACTGGGGGTTACAGCTGAATCGGCGCCATCTGGCACTACTTCTCTCGAACTGTTTGCAGGTTGCGCGCTCTAGGTCGTATCCGAGATAAATAACACTAATGTACTAACAGAGGCCACCAACTTCACTTTAGATACAGGGTGTTCCCAACTACGAATGGATCCACTAATTTTTCAAAAATGTATACCTAACTAATTATATTTACCGAAATTAATCGAAAAGATGTACTTGTCTCTCACATATGCATCATTATAGGGGTTATTTGTTTTGTTTTTAAAACTCGTTTATTTATTCCAGATTTGCAGTTGCATCCATTCTTAAAGATCAAAAAAGAAGATAATTCAACAACGGATGAAGATGATTATTTAGATTGGATTTACCGCTAATATAATGAAGTAATTTCTTGTCTCTCCCCCCCCCACCCTCACTCATCACGGAGAGGATGAATATCGTGGACACCCGACGTTGGATAGATTAAGGTTTCGGTGAACCCTACTGAGGTCTAGCCGACGCCTCAAAGTAAGTCACTAGTGAATATTGTTTCAAATAGATCTGAGTGACAAGTTTTTATATTTCCATATTTGTATTTCTATTTTTGATTTTTATTATTTTGGGGCTAATTTGATTTTTGTGCCCAATAAGGTAAATTACAAACTGTAATTTAGTGTATTATTGGGCTCCTCTGGTAGTCCATTATTATTTAACTCAGTTGCTCCATGTGTTAGGGACCGACGTACACAGGTGCTGCGCCTGTGACGTCAAACTTTGATTCTTATTACTTGGGTTTTATGTGATTAACTGCTGGTTTTAAGTCCTCTATACCGTTACATTACATAAATACCGTATCTGTTGTTTTTAGGGATCTGATGTTAGGAGACGGAGAACATTTAAAATTGTAATTACCTGATTTCAATGCATACATGGTGTTTTGTCCACGCTCTTATTTGGGGAGTTGTATTACACTTACACATACACTTTACAGTTTAAACCATACGTATTTGCATTTTTATTTTATATGCATGTCTACTTGTCACTCATTAGGTCTATTTGATATTTTTTTCAGCTAGTGTGATTTTTCAGCTATGGTGAGAAAAACAGTGTTGCTGAAGTGGAATATTGTGAAAAGTGTTATTGACTAGGTATAGTGTATTATATCTTCTTCTGGCATAACAGTGGCGGGTCGCGAATCGGTTCTAGGTTGGCGCCAAGTTAAATGATAAAGTTAACATTTTGGCAATAGCTTTTCTTAAACTTGAATTTGTATTTAGAAACTTTAGCGAATACTTTTTAATTTTCTCTTTAAGTAAATTGATTAAACTTTAATATTCTCACTAAATTAAAATTTTTAAAATTTCAATTGAAATGCAATACNAGCGAAATGTTTTTTTATATACAATTTAATCCATTAATAGTTGCCACTCAGTCGCTTAAAAGGTTTCTGATTAAATGACTTTATTTAATATATTGGTAGGGTTACTCGCTTGACGCATCGTTGATCTCTCTTTCGAAAATACTCGATTTTTAATAGTTTCAAGGCCTATAGAGCAACAATACGTTGTAAAACACTAGCTATAACATCTGTATGTACATTCGTCTGTAAGGTTTTGTTTGATTTTTAACTTTTATTTGCCTTAAACAAACGCTTAAAATATGACTGTTAAATCTAGTTTTAGTTTGATTCACTTTGTGCGCTTTTCTTGCGTTGAATTTCATAAAAGAAGGACTTAATAGTCTTAATAAGTTTACCATTTATTCCAATAGTTCACAATGTTCAAAATTCTCCTTTTGTAATCTCTCTGTACTTCGTGTCGTTAATTGGTACGCAAACGTAGATATGTTTCTTGTGCATGAGATAAATATAAAGTATTCATTAGTTTGCTAGGAACGAACATAAATTCTATTTAAGTGCCCCCAATATTTAGGTGGAATCATACAAATATCTAATAATGCCCATAGTCATTAATATTTATAAATTTGTTGCGATAAACGAAATACAGTGAAGTATTACAGTATTAATGTATGATAAATTTATTGTTTCGTTCTTTGTTATTCAGTATGTACAAAATAGTGTACAGTTTTGCTGTTACTAATTATTTAATAACATTTGAATTAAGCTGAACAGAATAGGACATCATTGACGCTCTTATTTTAAGCCTTTGTTTAATGCAAATCGAAGTGATAATTAAACAAAAACTTAAATGAAATTGTGTACAGATGTTATTCTTAGTGTTTTACAACATATTTTTGTCTTATAGTCCTTAAAACTATCAAAAATCGAGTATTTCTGAAAGAGAGATCAATGATGCGTCAAGCGAGTAACCCTAACAAAATATTAAATAAATCGTTTAATTTAAAACTTATTAAGCGAGTATCTGATGGATACTATTAATAACAATTCAAAAGGTATTTCTTTAATAAATTAAGCAAAAAATTTCAATTTATACCTAATAACTGATGTTATTTACAGTTTTAATAAACTTAAACCTAGAAGAAAGATTTTTATATTTTGATAGATTTTAGATTTTGACCAATTAAAATCCAGATCGCAGCTCTTTACAAAATTTTATTAATCCTTTTGGGTCTATTATAAGGGAGTTTAGCTTTATACCCCTAAAACCTCACAATTTGTCGAATTATTTATTTTAGTTTATTTTCAATAATTTTAGGTTTTTGAAATTTTTATATTGAAAAGAAAAATATATTTCTATTTTATTGTAACTTCTTTTCAATGTATTCACTTTGAATAGATAAGCAGGTATTTTAACTTATTGTTTGATAAAACACCAATAAAATATTGTTGAAACCGTCTGAAATATATTACGTACATTAAAAACCAGATAGAAAGTTTGAACACATCGACTACTCGCTTAGAATAGTTAAAGTTATGAATGTAGGCAAATAGGTCCTGTTTGATTGAAATTACCACTTAAAGACAACACTATCTAATAGAAAATTCTGTTCGATTACTCAC